ATTTTTTTGTATTATTAAAAATATATTTGTGTGTGGCACAAAAGGCAAATATTTCAAAAAGATCCCATTAAAAACAGATTTAAAAAGCATAAATGCAGTGAGCATAAATCCAGAGCTTCACCAGGTTGTGAAACAGATTGAACATTCTGTCACCTTTTAAGTCAGCAGTGAAGTAGGTGTAAATATCAAGCACATCGTGTCTCTGTATATGTTAGAACAGCACATGCAAAAGCTGGAACAAAAGACGTTAACTTCTGCTTCCAATGCAAACTGGCCTGAATGAGCACTAAACTGAAGCAGGAGAACAAAGACCCTTTACAAATAGCATGTCTTTTCAGAGACATTTCAGACTGACACTTCAGTAATGACTGCAATTATCAAGCATTATGTACAAAACCCTTTCTGACGCCTATTATTAACACCTCGCTTTCAAAACATGCTATCATTCATTATTGACCCAGAAAGAAAAGCACATGACCTTCAACTCCATCATATTTGGCTATGAGGCAACTGAAAACCTCATTGGGTAAATAAGATTCACCCAAAATGTAAACTGCATTTGTTTAGGGGTGTCCAAACTTGGTCCTGGAGGGCTGGTGTTTTGCATAGTTCAGCTTCAACTTCTCTCAATGCACCTCCCTAAAGTTTCTAGTATACCTGGAAAGAGCTTGATTAGCTGGTTTGGGGGTTTATTCGGGGTTGGAGCTTAAATATGCAGGACACCGGCCCTTTAGGACCAATTTTGGACACCCCTGGTTTAGACTGATAGATGATGAAGCACAGAATGTGGAATATTTTACTCAAGTTGGTTGAATTATTATAAGTTAATGGTATGGATTAAAAATAGAATTCAGTAGTGATTTAATGCTGTATTTAAGTAGTAGTAATAGTAAATTCAACGGCGGTAATAGTGAACTCAGTACTGAATTAATCCCATATAATAGTAATATCGAGTTCAGTAACTAATTAATGCTATACAATAGCAATAGCGAATTCAGTACTGAACTAATGCTATATAGTAGTAATTCCAAATTCATGATTGAATTGATGCTACATGTATATAGTAGTAATAAATTCAGTAGTATATTAATGCTATATAGTAGTAATAGGAAATTCAGTAGCAAATTAATTTTATAAAACAGTGGTAGCAAATTCAGTACTGAATTTATGTTCACTTTAAATAGTAGGTTTAAAGGTTTAAATTCAGTTGAGAATTCAGTACTGAATAAATGTTATGTAGTAATACCAATTTCAGTAGTGAAATATTGCTAATTTTTAATATTAGTAAAAGGGAAGAATAATAACGAATTCAGTACTGATGTAAGGCTATATAGTAGTAATAGCGAATTCAGTACTGAAATATTGCTACATGTATATAGTAGTAACCAACTCAGTACTGAATAATGCTATATTTGAATACTGAATAGTAGTAAATAATATTGAATTCAGTACTGAATTAATGCTATATAATTGTAATAGTGAATAAGGTACTGAATTAATGCTATATAGCAAATAATAGTGAATTTAGTACTTAATGCAATATAGTTGTAGTAGCGAATTCAGTACTGAATTAATGCTATATAGTAGTATAGCAAATTAAGTACTGAATCAGTGCTACATGTATATAGTAGCAATGAATTCAGTACTGAATTGTTGCAATATCTGAAAACTGAATACTAGTAAATAATAGAGAATTCAGTAATGAATTAAAGCTATATAATAATATTAGCGAATTAAGGAACTAGTTAATGCTATACAACCGTAATAGCAAATTCAGTACTGATGTAAGGCTATATAGTAGTAATAACAAATTCAAATTAATGCTATTTTTGAATACTGAATAGTAGCAAATAACAGTGAATTCAG